AACGCCGGAGGGGGAAGACGGAGACCCTCGGGAGGGGGAAGTGAAAGAAGGGCCGTACCCTGCGGGGTCCGGGAGAGGCGCGCGCCGCGGGCTTCACCAGCGACAAGGCGGCGCGGAGGGAGGCCTGGGCGCGGGGGGGGCCCCCAGACTCTCGCGCGGCGGCGGAACGGCAGCGGGCCCGGCCCCGCGCGACCCGGAAGGAAGACGCAGAGGCCGCGAGGACTGCAGAGCGGGGCGGGGCTTGAGGAGGCGGGCGGGGGCGGGGCCTGGGCAGGAGAGGCGGGGCGGGGCGGGGTCGGGAGGGAGCTCCGGCGCCGGGGCGGGGCCGGGCGGGGCGGGGAGGAGCTTCCGGTTCGCCTCCCGGCCCCGGCGGTGCCTGTGTAAATGGCCCAGGTACTCCGCGGCAGGCAGGCAGTGGTTGCAAAGAGTCTGTGCGATGATCCCTTCCAAGTACAGTACCCTCCGTTGTGTAGTCCTGCTAGGACTTCTCCGGTCCAGATTTGGTGGGTCAAGGGATGCATAGGTATTACATGGATCTGCGGGGAAAAATTGGAATGTACTTCATAAGCTCTGAACGTATAATTCACCAAGTTTGCAAGGCTCTTCTGTACTCAGATACAAATCCTTCCTACAGGCTCATTACATCCCAACATTCGGAAGACTCCTTCCGATGAAGTTGTCCTCTCGATCTCCCTTAGTCATTTTGACTTATTTTCGGTAGATACAGTATCGCCCTTTTTTTTTTTTAAGTTTACATCGTATTAAGCTTGTTAGGAAACTTCCATTAAGATGGAAAAATATTTAATAATAAGATGTTATTTTCACACATTATTTGCTGTCTAATTTGTACTAAAAAGGCAAAATGATAAAAAATATGTATGTTATGTATATGAACCGAGCGGACATTTTATGTACAGTATAAACTGTAAACAAAAATGTAAATTTTATTTGTTTTCTTCAACTTCTTTCTGTGTCTGTTTTTTTGTTAATACATAATGTGGTGCATGCAATAATTTGATTCATGCATATAATTGAATCAGGGTAACTGAAGTATCATTACCTTAAATATTCATCTTTTCTTTATGTAGGAGGAACATTCAAATTATTCCCTTCCAGCTATTTTGAAATGTACAGTCAATGTTAACAGTAGTAAACCTACTGATCTACCCAACACTAGGTCTTATTCTACTTATGTGTATATTTGTACCCATTTAATCAACCTCTCTTCATTCCCCCACCCACTACCCTTCTTGACCTCTGGAAACCAGGAATCTAATTGATTATCTTCATGAGATACACTTGTTTGGCTACTGTGAGTGAGAACATGTGATATTTGTCTTTCTGTGATTGGATTATTATTTCACTTAATATAATGACCTCCAGTTTCATCCATGTAGTTGCAAATGATAAGATAGCATTTTTATGACCAAATAATATTCCAATGTGTATGTGTACCATATTTTCTTTATCCATTCATCCACTAATGAACACTTAGGTTGGTTACTCATCTTGGCTATTGTGAACAGTGCTGCAATTAACATGAAAGTGCAGATATTTCTTCAATACATTGATTTCCTTTGGGGGGGGATATATACCCAATATGGAATGGCTGGATCATATGGTAGTTCTATTTTTAATTTCTTGAGGAACCTGGATACTGTTTTCAGTCTCACCAACAGTGTGTGAGGGTTCCCCTTTCTCTCATTGCCAGCATGCTTATTCCCTGTCTTTCTTGACCCACCTAGGCAACTTGGCGAGACCTCATCTCTACAATAAATAAAAAATTAGCTGGGCGTGGTA